AAAGGTCTATTTCTTTTTGTTGTTGTTGTTGGTTTTTTTTGTTTTTTGAGACAGGGTCTCACTATGTAGCTGAGACTGACCTGGAACTCACTACATAGCCCAGGCTTGTCTTGAATTCACAGTGATCCTCCTGCCTCAGCCTCCTGAGTGCTGGGATTACAGGTGTGCGCCACCACACCCAGTTTGCAAAGGTTTATTTCAAGTCTATCACTCTGACCCATCTTCTCTCTTTCTGCCAATACTACAAAATTTTAACCAACAGATCTGTGATAAATTTTGAATTTAGGAAGTGTACATGCTTCAACTCTATTCTTTTATAGCTTGCTCCAGCAATTCATAGTTCTTAGGATTTCTGTATGAATTTAGTGTCAGCTTATCAATTCTGTGAAAAGGAGAGCTGAGGTTTTCGAGAGATTGCATTCAAATTGTAGTTCAATTTGAGACCTACTTTCATCTAACTAATTATTGTCTTCCAATCCATGAACAAACCATCTTACATTTATTTAGATGTTTTTAAAATTTTTCAAAGATTTTTGTAGTCTGGTGTGTGCAAATGCATTTTTTCATATTTATTCCGATGTAGTTGGCTTTGGTGCTGATAGAAATGGAATTTTCTTAATTTCATTTTCAAATTGTTCATTTGTAGTATACAGAAATACAGTTGAGTTTGTTTACTGGTCTTGTATCTGGGAACCTTACTGAACACTTTACTTGATCTGTTTTTGTAGACTCCTTAGGATTTTCTATATATGTCATGTGCAAGATAATAGATCTACTTCTTCCTTTCCAATCTGGATACCCTTCCTTCCTTTGGTCTAACTGCTCTTTGTAGAATCTTTTTCAATGAAGAAAACAGTTGTTTTCTACCTAATATCAAGAAGAAAGCTTTCAATCTTTAACCATTAAATATGAGGTAGCTGGGCATGGTGACACTTACCTGTAATCCCAGCACTCAGGAGTCTGAGGCAGTGAAAGCAAAGCGCTATACAATAGGACAGACCCTCGCCTTGCCTCCACTTCCCCCCACCCCCACCATAGAATGTTTCGTTTTAGAAATGTAAGTTTGTGCCGATGGGCTCCTGCCCAATGTATTAAAATGGTTTGTGACTGTTTTAACTGTGTGACCTTTCAGGAATGTTCTGTTCAGCTCTGCCCCCTCACAAGAAGGTTCTGTTAAGCTGCGCTCCCTTCTCAGGAATATTCTGTAACTCTTCCCCCCACTCCCTTCAGTGAGCATGTTCACCTACCCCATTGATCCCTATATTAGGAGGCTCCCATTTCTTGCAGAGCGCTCAGGATCCTCCGAGCCCGCTGGGGCTCACCTGTGTAATAAAAGTTCTTCCCCCACCCCCACCTCTTCAACTGACATAGAATTCTCAAGTCTTCAAATTACAGAGCTGTGTTCCAGGACCACCACACTGAGCTGTAAAGTTCAGCTGTGCCTCAGAGCTGTGGCACTTGGCTACAACACTGAGCTGTAACTCAGTTGTGCCTCTGAGCCACGGCACTTAGTTGTGACACTCAGCTGTCACTCTTGGCTATAGCAGTGAGCTGCTCTGCTCTGCCGCAACAGCAAAAAGATTACTGTATATTCAAGGCCCGCCCAACTGTGTCTAACCACCCCGCCAAAAGAAACCCATGTCCCTTAGGATAAGGAAGATGTAAAATAAACAAGTAGCTAAACAAATAAGATGCAGTTTGTGGGTTTTTCCCAAGATGCCCCTTATTAATTCCTTTACTCCTTTGAGGAAGTCCCATTCTCTTCCTCATTTGAGTGTTTTCTCAATTCAAAGAGAGTATATTATCAAATGCCTTTTCTGTGAAAATTAATATGATCATGTGGGTATTCATCTTTTTTTCTATTAAAACTATATTATATTGATTGAATTTTGTGAGTGGAACACTGTATTCTTAGGCTAAATTCTACTAGGCTATAATGTATAATTTCTTTTTATATGGGGCTGGATATGATTGTCTAGTATATTGTTGAAGACTTTTTTCAACTACATTACTCATAGATATTGGTCTGTTTTGTGCTGTCTGTTTGGATATCACAATATGAATAATGGACTCAAACTGAGTTGGGAAATATTCTCTTCCAATTCTTGGAAGAGTTCGTGAAAGACTGGTAATAACTCCTCTTTAAATGTTTGGTAGAACAAAGCCATCTGGTCCTGGGCCTTTTCTTGTGGAAACTTTTTAATAATTATTAATTCAAAAAATCATTAATTCGCTCTCTTTACTTGTATTTTTTATTGGTCTAGAAAATAACAACACTGGTTATTGATTTCTAATTTTACTCTATTGTGGTCAAAGAACATGGGCAATCTTACTTCAGTCTTCTCACACTTACCAAGGCTTGTTTTATGGCCTACCACATTATCTGCATCAGAGAATGTTCAATGTACATTTGAGAACATGCATTCCACTGCTATCCAGTAGAGTATTCTGTAGGTATTTGTTTGTTCTGGTTGGTTTAAAGTGTTTTCTGTTTTCTTCTTTCCTTATCTGCCTTAATTATTAAGGCATTATTACTCATTATTGAAGATGAAGTATTGACAGTCCCGACTTTTGTTGGGTTGTCTACTTCTCCCTTCATGTCAGTTTTTGCTTTATGTATCTTGCACTCTCTTGCTAGATGCATGTTTATCATGACAGACTGACTCTTTTACTTTTCGTTATAAAATGTCTTTGTAGTGGCAATTTTTTTCTTAAAGCCTATTTTACTGCAGTCACTACAGCTCTCTTTGAGTTACTATTTGCATGATATATATTTTCACATCCTTATACTATCAACTTACTTGTGTTTCACTTTGCTTTTTGTGATACAGGGGTTGAACCCAAGGCTTCTGCTCTGAGTTAACATTCCAAGCTCTTTTTATTTTTAGAATGCATCTCAATCAATCTTATGATTCTCCTGTCTCAGCTTCCTAAGGGCTGGGATTATAGGAATGTGCAAACACCACTGGCTCCTCTGTGCTTTTAAAATCTAAAACAGGCCTCTTTTAGATAGAATATAGTCAGATCTTATTTTATTTGTTTTTATTTCCTGAGTATGGTCTCACTATGTAGTCTAGGCTGGCCTTGAATTTATAATCCTCTTGCCACAGCCAAGTGCTGGGATTACAAGTGTGTGATACATGGCCCACTACCTTCTATGTTCTTAGGAATATGTCTAAATTTTTCAAAACTGCCTATGGATATCTCTTTCCCTCAAAGTTTTTGGTGTCTTGTCTGTTCCAATGGTTATAATTAGCTCAGGAAGTTGAGATGTAAAGTGACTGTTGCTATCATTTTTGACAAGTACAGACAGGAAAATGGTTGCTTACTCTAGGCAAGCTGAGTCCCACCAAAGAAAAACAAACCCTAAGACTGTGGATTTAATAGAACTATCAGAAAAGTGAGATAATGACAGTTCTGTGCTAATGAGCACTCCAACCCTATTCTGTAACCTACAATGGTTGCTAGGCAGCTGGACTTCACCACAGTTTTGAAACTGTTCGTTTCCAAGGCTACCATGAAGCTAGGGAGAGAGGATGGGAATGGAGCAAGTTAAAATGTCAGAAACTGCTGTTCTTACTGAGATGTAAACATTTTTCTTGAATAGATGTTTTCTAGATTGCTGCAAGCCTTTGGTTAATGTTCAGCTTTCTCTGGTGCTCTGTTCCTTTTATGGCAGATGGGACATTCCCACGGGGGGACGCTCTTATGATGCCCTCTTATGTGAATTTTAAAAAAGGAAAGATATTTGCCTGTGTGGGCCGAACCACACTCAACCCTGTACTTTGCCCACACTCTCTGCCAAGACCAGTGGAGTGTATCCCATCACATCTAAAACCTATTTGGAGTGGGGTGCCTAAACCAGGGATTTGACAGGGAAGGACCCTCCTCTGTTCCAGAAGGGTGCTTAGGGGTGGAAGCAGGCCCTGTAGGCAGGAAACACAAGAAATGAGTCCAAAGCATGCAGCCTCACAGCACAAGATGTTACACATGAATGACAATTTCCATAAACAAAGCCCTTCTACCTACTGAGACTAAGTGCCTGAGGTGTGAGATTTACAGGTATTCAGGAATTTGGCCTGAGTACTTGGCCTGAGTGCTTAGCAAGGTCGCCCCAGTTGTCTGGGTATGGTATGGAAGCTGCCTCATAGTTTGAAGCACATGAAACTCTCCTTTACAACCATGGTCTCACATCACCATCTGTACCATGATTCAGAGAATATCCAAGAGGTGGGAAATAACAGACCAGATTTTGGCAGGTGAAACTGTTTCAATGTTTCACCTTAGAGCAGTTCATTCCTTCTGAGGGACAACCTTATCTCAAGAACAGTTTCCTGGGGTCAGGAAACTATGGCCACATCTGGCTTTTTTTTTGTATGGCCTATGAATTTAGAATACTTTTATACTTTTTAAGAGTTGTGGAAAAAATAAAGACCCTAAATAGCTAATAAAAGCCTAATTACTACAAGGATTCTTCAAGGGAAAGACTGCCTACCTCTAGGTAATGGTACCATGGATTTAAATAAACATCCAACAGACATAAGATAACAGAACCAAAGGGGGCAAAAACACTTGAAATAACATTACTTTAATGCTCTAGGCATTTTAAACATTCACAGAATTGCCTTATTTCAGAAACAATTCTTCATAGCTACAGATTCTGTGTCCAGGATCAGAGACATGTACATCACTGAATTTCCTCTGTAGCACCCACATGCTACATGCGACCTGCTGTGGTACCTTGTCTTCCTTAGTAGTGTCCCCTCTGCCACCCCCACAACATGACACAACTACCCCTGTGACACAACTGCAACTGTTCATGAAAACACTTTGTAGCTTTACTGACCCTTGTGGGTTCTGTGGATCCCAGCACATTTCCAGCACTCCCCTATGTTCCATGCGCCTGAGCAGGATCCTGGGGAGCTTGCAAAACATCACGTCAGCTGGGACATGTGCCAGCACCTGCTCTGCCCCATCATACAAACACTGAGGCACTTAAATGTTCTTGATAAAATGGAGTTTATAATTACCATAGGAGTTACATGTGAGGGAAAGGGCTTTGCTCTCATAACTAATTAAACACATATTTAGTAGATTTATAAATCCATATCTGTTTACATTTGTTGTCAAGGCTTCATAAGCTTTATGTTAAGCATATCTGAGTTTCCAAACACTGTAATGAGAAGCAAATAGAGAACCTGCTTAGACAACACTGGCTTGTACCATGAATACATATGTCAACACCTGGATGTTCTTAAAGAAATGCCTGTTTCCAGAAAGAATTATTTTAAAAGCCTTAAGCCTTACAGGATTCTTCCAAGATAATAAGGTATTTTTTTCTTTCTCTCTAGGCAGTAATTCATGGCATCTCAAGACACTGCTGATGCCTGAAGTTCAGTTTAATTAGCTAGGGCTGAGAGGAGAGTGAAGGTGTAGGCACCAAAATTTAAAAAAAAAAAAAAGTTTCACAGATGTTTGTAGCATGTAGTCGGCATGGTACTAAAGGCTCTTGAGTTTTCCTACTCTCATTTGTCCTCATGAAAAGCCCTTGAGGTAGTCCCTGGTCAGGCAACAATCTCTTCCATGAGATAAGAAACTAAGGCACAGAGAGGTCAGGGGGCTCCTCTGATACTGTGCAGTCAAACAACAGAGCCAAGACTAGAATCAACATCTCCAAATAAATAACACCTCTTCTCCCAGCAACCAGCAGTGCTCACCTGGACCAACCCAATGACACTGGGGAGTAAGGCAAGACCAACTGTGCCCAGGGCACCATGGAAGGGTACAGGACAGTTCTGAGCCAACCTTCCTACGTGATTGGAAATAAATGCATTATAGGTATGCTTTACACATGTACATGCTGGGAGCTATGTGAGGAATGAACCGTAACTTCTTAAAGCCATGCTTCACTCACATATATACAGTGGATTCAGGTTTCTTAGAAAATCTATCAGTATTCACAGACTTTCTAACACCTGAATTCTGAACTCCGTCACTATATGAGCTGGAAAACTCTGAAATGTTCCCATGATTTGGTCCAAAAGCACACAGAAACCTCCAGGCTTTCTCTATCACCAGCCCACACAGACCTGCCAAGAACCCAGATCCCTTACTTCCTAAATGGGTGTGCATCTCAGCGTGATGGGATCATATCTCATTCCATTCTTAGGAGTCCCTGCACACTAACCTGTCAGCTGTGTTGGACCTCCAGGATTGACTTACCACTGGCTCTTATTTCGGTCTGGGTGCAAACTTGATTCCCCATATTCCAGGTAACCAGTAGGACTTTCTATAATCCCCAGTTCCTGTGAGCAGGGACCTTTTTCACTTCACTATAACACCTTCATATCCAATCACCCATCACCATCTGTAGCACATAATTTCTATCATTATTCCTTTTTCACTGGAAGCTTCCACATCTCATCATATCTGAGGAGATAATGCTTGTGTTCTTCTTTTGTAAGTCTCACCTGACTGCAGGACCTGCCAGGCAGAAATGAATACCAGAGCACACATACACACCAAGAAGGAGTACACCATGTCCTGGGGAGGAGTAGTTTCCTGTGTATCTGCTGCTGTGATTTCCAGGATACTCTAAGAAAAGCCTACTCAATTCACTCTGAAAATAAAAAACATCTCCCACTGTTAGTGATGCGGCCTCCTGAGAAGCCTACAAAATATTAGTTGACGATACTTAGAAAACACATCCTTCATGTACACCTTTTTGAGACACACAAGAAGCTGCATGGAACTCTGAAATCACCTCTTTCTCATCTAAGCAGGACATACACTTATTCAGAGAGCCTCTCTCTTGAGGCCTACAGGCACAGGCACACTCAGAATCCTTCCCAGAATGGAACCTGCCCATCCGGCTCTTAGAGAAAGTGCATGAAGCACAGGGAGATCAAAAAGAGGAGAAGCCACCTGTGTCACAGCCATCTGGGGAGGATATGGGATGTGGAATTCTACCTTTCTAACCCTCAGGATTTTATAAATTTTTAAAAATTGAAGGAAAGAGAACTTTGCAGATCTGCAGTGAACATTCTGATTAAAATAAAATTGAGAATCATCAATTTCAAAGAGCCCTCCCCCACATGCACACACATATCCAACCTATTAAGCAAAGCAAGATACCGTATGGTTTTTCCTCTGTCATGCTTAATTGAGGCTTACAGGTTTGGCAGACTTGTTGCTTTGTTTCTAAACATGCAGAGAGCAGACAGAGAGAGAAAGCAGTGGGTACTGTTTGGGCCCGATCTAGAGAACTCCCATATCACCAGAAAGGTGACAAAGAGAGCAGTCTTTGCTGACAAGCCAATACGGCACAAAACTAAGACTGTTGGTGCATGCTTGTCCAAAGTTTAGGGAGACAGAGTATTGTGGAGAGGATGAGCAAGGGACACATGGCAACCTCCAAAGTGCTCTAACATCCAGTCTCTGTCCCAAAAAGCCAGGGTGCAGCTGGGCACAGAGCTAAGGCATTAAGGCTGCAGTGGGTGGCTGGAAAGACCAAGTAGTGGTACTGGTGGTCTGCCATACCTGGGAGGACAGGTTCTGTTCCCAATACTATCTAAGCAGAAAGAGATTTCCTAAGGGTGAGAACCCCTGCTTTCACTCCATGGATGAACATTCTGCTTCCTGCTCAGAAACATGTGCCTCAGTTTCCGCAACTGCAACTTCACTGCTGAGAGCTCCATAGGGCAGCTCCCTGAGCAGCCAGCTCTGGGAGTTGCTTCTTCTTCTCCTGTTCTCTTCTGTCCCATGTTCAAGTTGCCTCTCTCTCCCATCTTGCTTGATAAGGAGCAGTCTGTTCATTTCTCCTGGCCATGGAGCAGGACCCGATGCATTTCCCAAGGCAGCTGTGAGTGCCCCATTGGTCACAGCTTGATGAACACAGCTGCCTGTGGCTGCTGCTCCATATCTGGAGGTGGGAAGACACTGGATATGGCTAAGTCCACGATGCCCTGGCACAGTTCTGCATACAGCTTCCTGAAATATGTTTTTAAAATGTCACTGAGGAAGTTCATCAAAGTGCAAGAAAAAAAATCAAAAGTTTTTTGTTTGTTTGTTTGGGTACTGGGGATCAAGCTCAGGACCTTGAGTTTGTGAGGCAGGCAGTGGCACCACTGAGCTAAATCCCTGGCCCTCAAAAGTTTTATTTTAAACCAAGATCTGCCTCAGAAATTCCATCTCATGATCTCCATGGTTTAAACTTTTTAAACGTGATCTCCATGGTTGATAGAAGTACTGCATGCAGATAAAGCATTTTCTCACAAATATTTATGAAAGGTCAAACCAGACAATTCCTACTGAAGCTGGCAGGGATGTCAGGCAATTCAACAGCATATGAGAGCAACTTGTCTGTATGTGAGTGTTTGAAGGGACAGACACAGCCCAGGTAAATAACCAATTTTCTATGGTCGAGGGAACATTGCGGAAGATTCCACAGGATCGACAGCTAAGCTGGGTCCAGAAGATAAAGAGAAGTTAGACAGAAAAAGGATAGCAGCATAGAAAAAAGGAAGGAGAAAGGGGTGGGGGGACTGGCTGCATCTGCAATTCGTGCATGTTGGGGTAAGGGAGAAGAGGGCAGTGTGAATGGAGGAGTAGCACACCAAAGAGCAAGAACTCGGGGTACCTGAGGAAGTGACAGTTGCAAGCCAAACAGCATAATAGACTGTATCAGGCCCCAAAGCAATGGGCCCAGAGATCTGGACTTCTTCCACAGGCAACGGGCCCACCAGAGAGGACAAGCCAAAGAAGAAAACCTGGTCACTTCAGAGAGGTCTTCAGCCTCTACCTTCTACTTACCCATGTAGGAGTCCCTGAGGCAGCAGCCTAGGTCCTGGAGCCAGGCTCCTGGGGAATGACTAACTCAGGCAAAAGCCAGATGATCCTCTGGGCCAGATGTGCCCACGATACAACTTTCTCAGGACACATTCAAAATCCCAGTGGCTCAAGCCTAGGGCAGAGGTCTTCTCTATCCTAATTTTCAGAAGATACTGTATTCCAATCTGCACCAGCTAGGAAATCCTCACAGGCTTATTGCCATCCCAAATGCTGCAGTGCAAGCCCTTCCCTTTGGCTTCCCATAATAGAACCTTTTATCCACTCCTGGTTCCCGGGCTAGTGTTTCTGTGTCTCAACCTGCTGTAGAGCCCTCAGGGAAGAAACAGTGCACAAAAACTCCATGCTTCTATTTTCCTTTTGGGGAAGTCCTAAGTGCTGGCTAATCTTCATCTCTCCTGCTATAGTCTGTTCTTTCCTCTCTCTCTTCTGCCCAATTCCCAGGCTCTACACCTCTGCCTACACAAATCAAGTCCCATTTTAGCAATTTAGCATGGCCCAACTACTCAATCTCTTACTTCTGAAGACACAGAGCCCAGGAGGTGCACAGGGAAAGAGGGTCATTATTAAACTTGGGGCTCAGTAAGTCACTAAGACCCAGAAGCTATCAAAATATGCCATGTTCAGTATTTTATGAGACTTGTCACAAACCACCTCTGCATGTAAGAGGAGAGGATAAAAAGCAGCTTCAACATGGTCAAGCCAACTCATGTCTTGGCATTTCTGATGAAAGAGGACACTTGACATCCCCTCCCATTTCCATAAAACAAAATAGATAAGTCAGTATTTGAATATGTACAAAAACATGGAAACTGCAGGTCATTAATAGACTTCTCTTTGCCATTATCTCACCATCCCTACCAACTCCCTTTCCTTTTTCTCCTTTAGGAAACAAGTAAAAAGGGATTTGAAAGTTACCTCCTTCAGCATGAGAATGACACAGCATGACCCTGTCTGCCTTGAACCTCTCAGGGGAGCCTGTAGCCTCCAGGTCCCCCTCAGTATAAACCCCCAACTCCTACCTCTCCACAAAAAATCATGAACCTAACAGATAGATGTTTCTTCTTCTATTGGAAAAGTTGAAGTACACTATGATTCATAATATAATGAATTGGGAAACGTCTGTCTCTCTCCTTAAGTTGGCTTTCATGTGGACACTTGTGCCTAAGTCGACTCTGAGCAAAGGGAATCAGGCAACTTTGAGGGGCTGTGCGGACCCAGGGAGATGGAGTCCAAACAAGACTCAGCACGGATGAGGCATCGTGTGTTTCTATCACTAGAGGCCTGGGTTGGGCTCTGGCATAATCAGCTTCACATGAGTGGCTCCTGCAGCTCTCTTCAGTGAGACAGGTGAGTTTCTGTAGGAATGCATGGCACTACTTGTGGGGAAAGGATGTCAAAGCTGTGATTCTCATACCCCAATGAACTATGGAGGAGTTGCTATTCCTCCATCCTCCTCTGCCTGGTGGCTCTTCACTGCAGGTATGGGATGAAAGAGGAGGGCCCACCCTTGAGCCAAAGCCTGCAGTACCCCAGCACAAAGAGCACCAAGGCAGGGCCCTTGAGCACAGGTTCTGCTCATGAGGGCATCACGTGCCCAGAGCCCATCATAGAAGTGGGTGCCCAGATGCTATAACCCTCTCTGAACACTCCTGTTCCCTTTGGGACCTGATCCTCTTCCCTCAGGTCATAGTGCTAGTCCCACGTGCCTACAATGCTATCTCAAACTACCTCCTGCCCCTAACATCACTGTCTCTGCCACTCTCAGGATCCTTCTTACTCACCTGGACACAAGAGGGTCTTTCTGGCAGTTACTAGTTTTGTTTGAGACCCCCATGGCACCTGCCATCCACCTGACTGCCACATGGAGAAATGAGAAAGGAGACGACTCCACTGAGCTCCCATGCCAGCCAGGGTCCTTGCAAAGGACTCCTATTACCATGACAGCCTTCCCAATAGCAATCTAAAGGTCTACCCTTCAGTTAGACTCTGCCAAGTGCACAACCAACTCCCACTTGTTAGACACAATGGCATTCAGACTTACTGAGCACAAGCTGGGGCGCCGTTGACCTCAATGAGCCAGACCTTCAGCTCCTCGTCCACCATGAAGTCGAAGCCAAAGAGCTGGAAGCTCTGGTAAGGGAGGTACCTGGTGCTGATGGCTGGCTCCACACTCAAGAGGCAGCTCCTGTGGGGCACAGGGGGACAGCTCACTGAGGATGGGGCGGTAGAGGCAGAGGTAGCACAAGAGGTGTGCTTGGAATAGTTGATGTCAAATGTGCGTAAAAATAGGTTGCGACTTTTTTTTTTTAATTATCACCAAGAGAATGTTACTTATCAAGCAGTTTGTTACAAACTGGTGCAACCACTCACATCCTACCAGGAAAAGGCTGCTATTCCTGTCCCAGGCCCCAGGGAGCACAGCATAAAGTCAATGTAGAGTGATGCAAACGCAGAGTGCTCCAATGGAGGAAGCAGGGGCTGCTGCCATATTTCTTTATAACAAAGAATGCTGGTCTTGTTAGTTTCTTTCACTAGCTCTATTTCTACTGCCAAATTATTGCTAATTAAAAGACTTAAAAGCTATACGTATTAAAATCAAATATTGAAATACAGTTATTTGTTAGCAACTACTGAAGAAAAAATTGGAGGATTTTAGTGACAGAAAAAAAGTTGAAAGTAATGTCAGGAACCCAGTGAGTAAGTACATGAGGTCTGAAGTCAGGCCAGCAACACGGACACGTTTTTAACCTTCCTAAATCAAACTTTGACTTCCTTACCTAAAGAATTAGGTGTGCAAATGGTGGCTGCTCCTAGTGTTGACAATGTTCATTGAGATAATTAAAAAAAAATTTGTATACAGTACTTATTTTCCATTTCTATAGCTAATTCTTTTTTAATCTTTATTAAGCTTATTGGTACACTTTAGGTATACGACACAGTTACATTCATCATTGGGATCTTGTACCTTTACATGATTTATCTTGGTTCTTATTTTTTCCTCATTCCCCCACCCTCCATTCACCCCATCCACCCTTCCCTATTTACAAAGACTTTCTTTCCATTCTTCTTTTTCTCATATTTTTCTTTTCCCTTCTTACCGTTTCCCTACCCCTCCACTTCCCCTACTCCATTAGGCCTTTTCTTCCTATTACACAATATCAATTATACATTTTGATGCTTATTTACACTTTGTTTTTCACACCAGAGAAACTATTCAGTATTTATACATGTGTGTCTTACTAATTTCACTTAAGAGTATGGACTCGGGCCGGGGATTTAGCTCAGTGGTTCCGCCGCCTGCCTCGCAAGCATAAGGACCCGAGTTTGATCCCTGGTACCAAAAAAAAAACAAAAAACAAATAAGACTATGGACTCAATGTGAGTCCACTTAGCTATAAATATCTCTGGTTTCTTGTTCTTTATGGCTAAGTAGTACTCCATTTTATAAAAAAAGAAAAACCACATCTTTATCCAATCTCCAGTTGATGGGTAATTGGGCTGTTCCAAATTTTAGCTATTATAAACCATGCTGCTATAAACATGGGTGAGCATATATTGCTATTACATGATTCTTTTAATTCTTTTGGGAAGATACCCAGCAGAGGAATAGCTGGGTCAAATGGGACTTCCAATCCTACTTGTTTGAGTTATCTCCATATTTATTTCCACAGTGGTTGCACCAGTCTGCACTCCCACTGACAATGAAGAAGGGTTCCTATCTCCCCACAACCCTGCTAGCATTTGTTATTGGTTGATTTCTTAATAGCAGCCATTCTTACTGGGGTGAGACAGAATCTCAGTGTTGTTTTCATCTGCATATCTCAAATGACCAGTGATGGTGAACATTTTTTCATGTTTATTTGCTGCTTTTATTTGTCTGAGAAATGTCTGTTCATTTCAGATGCCCATGCTTTCATTAGGTCTTTATATTTGGGGCGGGGGTCTGATTTTTTTTGTTCTTTATATATTCTAGATAGTAGACCTTTGTCTGAGGAATAGCTGGTAATTTTTTTTCACACACTGTGGATTGTCTCTTAGCTCTGCTTGTGATTTCTCTGGCAGTGCAGAAACTTTTAAAAAAGATGAGATCCCAATTATTCTTTGTGCTAGTTCCCGTGCTACTGAGGATCTGTTCATAAAGTCTTTTCCTATGCCAGTATCTTCAAGCGTTCTACCTATCTTATCTTCCAGCAAGTTTAGTGTTTCTGTTTTAATGTTATTTATTTAATCAATTTGGATTTTAGTTTAGTGTATGGTGAAAGACATGGGTCTAGTTTTAATCTTTGACAAGTTGAAATCCAGTTTTCCAACACCATTTATTAAAGAGGCTATTTTCCACCAGTGAGGGTGTTTGGCTCCTTTGTCAAAAATGAGGTAGTTGAGTATGTCAGGAGTTTTTTTTGCATCTTCTAATCTGTTCCATTGACCCTCGGGTCCATTTCTTTGCCAGTACCATGCTGTTTTTATAACAATGGCTTTGCAGTTTAGTTTCAAGTTGGGGATTGTGATATCCCCTGCCATGTCTCTGTTGCCTAGAATTGCTTTTGTTAGTTTAGGTCTCTTCTGATTACAAGTGAATTTTTGGATTGCTTTCTCTAGTTCTGTGAAATATACTGTTGGGATTTCAATAAGGATTTCGTTGAATCTGTGTAGCAGTTTTGGAAGTATGGCCATTTTCACTATATTGATTCTTCCTACAGAGGAACAAAGGATGTCTTTCCATTTTCTTGTATCTTCTTCAATCTCTTTTTTAAGAATATTGTAGTTCTCAATGTGGAGGTCTTTTGTTTCCTTTGTATTCAGCATAACTCTTGACACCAAGGAGTATTTCATAAATGTTCCTCTTATGAAAAAGCATATTTCATGAATTCAGTATTAATGATACCAATCACAAATCTATTACTTATGAATAATGAATAACTGTTATCTAGTACAAATACCCCAGAACCACAAGCCATTCCTGTTTAATGAAGACCTTCCCTGATTTTTCATGATGGACAGAATATTTATCTTACTAAAGGTGTTCTGATGACTTAGATTACCAGAGATAATTGTTCATCTATACAGCTGTATATTTAAAAGGAAAAAGATACAGGAAACTGGCTCCCACATGACTAAGTCAAAGGTGTATCCTTACAGGTAGGTTTGGCTCTCAGTTCCCCCGAAAAAGAAAACATTCATATAGATATGCTTAAATCTTTAAAAATAATCTTAGAGAATCCAAATTTCTAATCACACATTTTTCCCCCAGTACTGAGGATTGAACCCAGGTAGCACTGATTAACCTACAGACCTACATCTCTGGCTCTTTTTGTTTGTTTGTCTTGTTTTGAGCCAGGGTCTCACTAAGTTGCCTAGACTGGCCTCAAACTTGTGATACTCCTTCCTCAGCCTGCCTAGTAGCAGGGATTATAGAGATGCACTACCCCACCCACTACACATTCCAATAGTACCTATAATCCTAGCTATTCAGAAGGCTTACTCAGGGGATTATTTGACCTCAGGAGTTCAAAACCAGTTTGAACAACTCAGCAATTTAGTGAAACACTTTCTCAAAATAAAAAATACAAAGAGCTTGGGATGTAGCTCAGTGAATAGCCCCTGGGTTCATCTTCAGTACCGCCCCTGCCCCAAACCCATAAAAACTCTATTACTATGAGAGAATATCCTTAAATATGTTTTAATTAAAATGTCATTTGAAACAGGAATGGTGGCATATGCCTGTAATCTCAGTGCTCTTAGCACTCAGGAGGCTGAGGCAGGAGGATTGCAAGTTCAAGGCCAGCTTAGGCTACACAGCAAGTTGGAGGCTGTCCTGGACTACATAATGAGATTCCATCTCAAAAATAAAAAAAAAAGAGGCAGGTGTGGTGGTGCACACCTGTGATCCCAGCACTGGAAAGCTGAGGCAGGAGGATCCCTGTGAGTTCAAGGACAGCCTGGGCTACATAGTGAGTTCAAGGCAAGTTTGAATTAAATAGGGAAACCCTATCTCAAAAAACCGAAAAGAAAGGAAGGAAGAGAAGGGAGAAGGAAAGCAGGAAAACCTTTTATAATTAAGATGCAATGAAGAAAAGTTTGAGATTGCTGTTGTCTGGATATTATTCTTTTCTTTGGGTTTTTTTTTTTAATGGAATGTTCTGAATGTCTATAATTTTGTTCAGACGACTGCAGAACCTGGAAAAGCTGTTGCTGCTATCGATGCATAACATACTATTATTAGTCTATACACACACACACACACACACACACATATATAAATTGAATTTTGGGAAACTTTAAGGGTGCTGCCAACTTTGGAAAAAGTCATCCCAATTTACTGTGTTGACTTGGCATTGTACAGAAATGGACAACCATATTGGTCTAGAAATGTTAATGTATTTTTATTTTTATTTTTTCCATGTGTACAGGGATAACACATCGTACTAAATATGTAAGGTCATATCTACGTAGGTTTGATTACAGAAACTAATAAAGTATTCTCTAAATAATGAAAAAAGAATAAGATAAGACTATAAGAGCGAGAGGCAATTTAAATATGTTCAGGGACCATTTTCATCTCCAGAATTAAGGATTACTTTGATGTTACATCATTGCCTT